TAATTAAATTTGTTTTTCTTGTACTAATCTGCCTTTTTATTACAGGGGGGTCTCAGCCAAGAACCTAGAAGGGTAGAGGGAAAATTAATTTTCTCTGCTACAGCATATTCCTTTTGCAAGGAGTATTTTTATAAAGAGCAAGTATCTTTCTTAACTGTTTGATTCCTTTCTCAACACTACAGGCTATCAAATCAAAATAACTTCCTTGATCCCAAGGCTTTAGGCTTTCTACTCCTTATCTAAATGTCCATGCCCTAAATTCTTCACTATTGTTAAAAGGGTTCTCAATTATGCCACCTGCGCTTCCTACCTGCCAGTCAATCATGCACAGTTTTCTCCAAGTGGAACAACTATTTCTAGGCAAAAAAATTCCACGCCAAGCTTCACTCCTCTTCCCAAAGGCCTTCCCAGGGCAGTATTATCCATATTGTGCTACTTTAGTTATCCTTGCTTGGTGTAACAGATTAACTAGTACTTGTTCTGTCATTTATAATCATATTCATGTCCCTAATTATGTGTCTATGTATGTATATATATTATACATGTATGTTAAATGTTAGGGTTCTCTTTTAAAATCAAGGACCATTAGCTCACAAGATATGCACACATAAGAAGAAATTTGATTCAGTAATGTGGTCTACGGCACAGTACATAATAGTGGCAGGACAGGACAGTTGTAAACAGCACAGACTCTAAAGGCAGACTACCTGGGTTCATAATCCTGGTCTTGGTACCCAGTGGTCTTAGTACCCTTTGACAACTTACTCAACATCTATACCTATCCGTTTCATAATTTGGAGTTACTATAAAAATTACAGGAGTTACATAAAATTCTTTAAAGCATCTGGCACATAAACTCAATACAATTATCTATTATTATTACAATGTTGTCTTAGCACACAGATTTCTACAACAAATCGTAAGCTGGATGGCTTATCAACAAATGAAATGTTATTTCTCACAGTTTTAGAGGCAGGGAGCCCAAGATCATGGTGCCAGCATGGTCAGGTTCTGGTGAGAGCCCTCTTCCAGGTATTCTCATGGGTATTCCCACATGGTACAGACAGCTGGCTAGCTCTTTGGCCTATTCATGTAAAGGCACTAATCCCATTCATGGCGGCTTCATCCTTTTGACCTAATTACCTCCCAAAGAGCCCACCTCCAAATACCATCACACTGGAATTGGGCAGGGTTTCAAACATATGAATTTTGGGGGGTTTTTGTTGTTTTTTTTTTTTTAATTTTTTTTTTTTAACGTTTATTCATTTTTGAGAGACAGAGACAGACAGAGCGGGGAAGGGGCAGAGAGAGAGAGGGAGACACAGAATCTGAAGCAGGCTCCAGGCTCCGAGCTGTCAGCACAGAGCCCGATGCAGGGCTCGAACTCACGAACTGCGAGATCATGACCTGAGCTGAAGTCAGACACTTAAACGACCGAGCCACCCAGGCGCCCCAAACATATGAATTTTGGAGGAACACAAACATTCAGTTCATAGCAGCTGTCAAGACTTCTATCTTCTTACTTTATAACTGAGGATACTGAAGCTCAAAAAATGTCTAACAATTTGCCAAAAGTCACAAGAACAAGTAAATTGTAAAACAAAGGACTCCTAGTAAAGGAGCCCATTCATTTCACCATGCTAAATTTTATTCAATATATTTTTAAGGTCTACAGGTCCATTTTATGATAAAAGTGGTAAGAAAATGAAAGAAATAAGAAAAAGGAAAATGAGAGACATTTATACTCAAGAATTAAGAAAAGAAGAAAGGGACATTGTAATGATCAGGCCAGAACATGGGCTTCTGTTCAAGTAAATAGAAGGGACAGGGAGGTGGTCCAGAGAACTGAGTTAAGAATATTAGGCTGGAAATAATGATCATGCTTCATTTTTCATTTAGGACATAAAGACACTGTTACTTGCATTTTTAAAAATCCTTTCTCTTCAGCAGTTTAGAAAGCCAATTCTGTTCCACTACAAGCTCATCTCTCTTCAAAAATGTGTGAAACATTTTGATTTTTCACATAGAATTCTGATGTTTACACATGGAAAAAAATAACAAATTTCAGAAATTTAATAAGAATCTTTGAGGGATGTCAACATATTTGCCATCTACATTTTTAAATCTTTTAAAAGTTTAGAGGCGTCCAACTGGCTCAGTTGGTAGAGCATGTGACTCTTGATCTTGGAGTGCTGACTTTGAGCCCCATACTAGGTGCAGAGATTACTTAAAAAAATAAAAATAAATAAAATCTTTTAAAAGTTTCAACTTATGGGTCATGTTTAGTTTTTGAGAAAACTTTAAATACATGAAAATCACATTCAGAACCATCACTATTTGACTGTCTTACACATTTCCTTAGATAAGACCCAACAGTCATTTAACGTTTATTTATTTTTGGGACAGAGAGAGACAGAGCATGAACGGGGGAGGGGCAGAGAGAGAGGGAGACACAGAATCGGAAACAGGCTCCAGGCTCTGAGCCATCAGCCCAGAGCCCGACGCGGGGCTCGAACTCACGGACCGCGAGATCGTGACCTGGCTGAAGTCGGACGCTTAACCGACTGCGCCACCCAGGCGCCCCCCAACGGTCATTTAAAATACAAACTCTGTTCTAATAAAACTATTACTATCCCTCTACTCCCAAGAAAACCTCTAAATGAAAAATAGAGACATAACCAGCTTGTCAAAGCAATAAATTTTGTTTTGAAAGGTTATCGTTTAGAGAATTTGTTAAACAACATCGGTCTCCCTGATTATATGTACTCTGCTTACAGCTAGAATTTTCTATATAGTTTCTCTCTTATGGTAGCAACCAATACACAGCTCAGGCCAAAATAATTATCAACAGTACTAGCCAAAAGGCTCTGGTACTGGATATTTTATGGGACTATACTACAAAGATAAGTTGTTGAAGTTTTTACACACATTTTAGCTTAAAATGAAAATACAAAGATAAACAACAGAAAATATGTCCAAAATTCAAGAACACATGCTTTGTATGTAAAACATACTTCTGTAATCTGAATCCTTTATTTCTATAAACTTCCACTGTAAACTGGACAATATGGTCTTCAGAAAAAAAAAAAAAGGACTCTCAGAAATAGAGTGATTGCTCTAAGAACTATGAAACAAGAATAAAATTTAAAGCTGATACCCAAAAGAAATGCACAGTTGTCAACCCAACTATCAATTCAAATTTCCAAAAATAATTCAAGTTCCAGGCACTGCAGAAAAAGAACAAATGGCTGAGAAGACCACAATTCCTCAACCCTCCAAGATATGCATCCCTGCTGATGCTCTGGGTTAACAATGTGGATACCTCTCTCCTTCCTTCACATTCTGGCAAGAGATGCTAAAAATTTTGTGCTCCACGTTCTCACACAATTAAAGTCCATGTGCTAAGTCTCTTCTAAAAAGCGGAAGTGGGAGGGCAGGAACTGAGGTTGGTTCCCTCTCAAATCATTACATGCATAGTTCATCAGCATCTCAATCTTTTTTTTTTTAATTTTTTTTTTCAACGTTTTTATTTATTTTTGGGACAGAGAGAGACAGAGCATGAATGGGGGAGGGGCAGAGAGAGAGGGAGACACAGAATCGGAAACAGGCTCCAGGCTCCGAGCCATCTGCCCAGAGCCCGACGCGGGGCTCGAACTCAGAGACCGCGAGATCGTGACCTGGCTGAAGTCGGACGCTTAACCGACTGCGCCACCCAGGCGCCCCATCAGCATCTCAATCTTAAAACTGTTAACAGAAGACCATCCCACCAATATGAAACTTTAATTTCTTAAACTTTGGTATGTACAAAACCAAAAAAGTGGGCCTAAGAGTTCACCTCTAATTCCATATAGCTTGGTAACTGGAGTATCGAATTCCTTCTGCTGGCTCCATAAATCTGCCTCACTAAATCCCACTGCACCTATACTTCATGAGCTCGCCTGATCCCAACTTAAACCCTCAGCTTAATTAAGGTCCTTATCTTTAAGACTGAAAAGTTTTATCTCTCTACCAGGAAGGGGCATAAAACAAATTTATCTGACCAAACAATTACCCAGTTTGCTTTATCTTATCTTATTCCCTTTGCCCTGATTTATTCTGAAAACACTGATACTTATTATAAGCTGTGAAAAATACTAACACTGGAGATACAAATATATTTTCTCTGCTCTTAAGGGATCACAGTCCAGGGAAGGAGACAAATATAGAGACAAATAATTTCTACCAAGTATGAGAAATTCTATAAAACAACTTTGTAAAAGTTCTACAAGAACACAACGAATTGAGGAAAGGTTTCACAATGCAGTTAACATCTGAAATGAGTCAAAGAATAGTAGGGTAGAATGGGGTCTGTATGTGTTTTAGCTGAGATGGAAATACAGAATGAGGAAAGCTGAAAGGTAAAGTTAATGTCTGATGACAGCCAAAGTGCTGACTAAAAGTATGTTACAATAAGTATCCTAGGATATCAACTAGAGCTCCTTTTCTCTTTCGTTCTTGCAAATTCATTCTAACCATAAATTCCCAAGAATGATCTTACAAACAACACAGAGGCACAGATTTTGTACACAAAATAATTATTCCATGGTTGGAAGCAGGAAAAACCATTTTGAAAGCCATCAGGAAAATTCAATGTAATCAGACTGATTCTCTGCAGTGAAAAGGAACAGCTCTGTTACATAAAACCAGTTCTCGGTGTTGGAGATACAGAGGAAAGAATACCAAATTACAATTCAAGAGACCTAGACTCAAGTCTATGGGAACAGTTATGCCATAATTACGAAACAAACCTTTTACTTAATTCCTAAACTGCCTACCTCACTCGAAGAGTTATGAAGATCAAATAAAATGAGTCTGAAAGTGCTCTGTAAAAACAGAAATGCTATACAAATAAAATACTACCTTCATTAAGATTGTAGTTGCTATATAGGAAATGAACTTTAAAAAGCTGTACTGCTGACATAAACCCTGCCATATTCAATTTGTGATAAAGAGCGTTTTACCCGTTCTACAGATCGTGCTCTCTTCTTTGGCCGAGTAGGCAGTGCATCTTCCTTCGGATTGGTGTCTATTGCCCAGTAGGACCCCTAAAGGTAAAGAAAGAAATATTAACAGTATATCACAGCAACTCTATAAGGTTAAAAATGGATTTTTACAATCTTCTGCTCCAGAAGCAAATATTTTGCAGATACAATAGTGGAAAAGTAGCATGAGAAGAAATACTAACTTTGCACTGAGAAAAATAAGGTTTACATGAGAAAAAAGGTCCATTTACAACTAGATTATTAAAGAGGAAAAAAAAAATCACAATCTGAAGTAGTTAAGTCCAAGAACTTCTGCCACAGCCAAAGAACAAATGAACACACTTTTTAAATATATACTAATTCTTTGGACACATATGATAATTACAACAGCATATGACATTCAAGTCTGGGGAGAGTTTTATATATATAAAGATACTACAGTTTCCATACTCTAGGACCTCACAAATCTAAATGGTAAATGAAACCATTTATATAAAGACAAACTGCTTGAACACATTTTATATAATAAATGCATCCTGGAGAGCAATGGTCTGTACATAAATCTTTTATTGCTTATTCTGTTAAAGCTTTTTAATTATTTATCCTCTCGGGGCGCCTGGGTGGCGCAGTCGGTTAAGCGTCCGACTTCAGCCAGGTCACGATCTCGCGGTCCGGGAGTTCGAGCCCCGCGTCGGGCTCTGGGCTGATGGCTCAGAGCCTGGAGCCTGTTTCCGATTCTGTGTCTCCCTCTCTCTCTGCCCCTCCCCCGTTCATGCTCTGTCTCTCTCTGTCCCAAAAATAAAAATAAACGTTGAAAAAAAAAATTAAAAAAAAAAATTTATTTATCCTCTCTTAGATACAAGTTCTCAAGACCACTCATTTGAACATACGTATTTAGCACCTACTGTGTTCCAGGCACTCAAGAATTGGGACTCCCTCAAAAGATATTTGGAAAGTATAGATTATGAAGAAACCAAAGCTCAAAAAGAGAAGTGGTTTGTTCAACCAAGGGTATGAGAACCGGGACCAGAACCAAGGCTTGCTTCCTTTCTCCCTCAGTTAACTTGTTTATACACACACACGCACACACACGCACACACACGGGAGGAGGGCAAGGAATGAGGGAGAAAGTAAAAGGGAGGGAGGGAGATATGCATTTCAGAAACAGAAATACAATGCACATCCCAGTTTTATAATTTTATAATTAATCCAGCGTTAAAGTTTAATCTTTGCCTCTATTACTTCATTAACATTCTCAGGCTGTTTTTTCAGGCAGTATTTGACAATGAGGGGAAATATAGCTCTCATCTAACAATCCTCATTCTTTGTGTCCAACATGAATTATCTGCTTATAGTCTTTTAAGCATACGTACCATGTTCTTTCACACAGCTTTGCCTACCCTACATGCTGATCTCAGTACCACTGACAAACTCACATTCTACCTTCAAAACCCAGCTCAGATCCCATCTAAAGGAATCCTTCCTCTGATCCTCCTACTAAATTCATCACTCTCTCCCTCTGTAAGATCTCCACACATTTTATACATTTAGACCACTGATTGCACTTTACTTTATAAGCTTATTTATAGGTCTGTATCCTTTCCAGGCTGAGTTCCTTAACGGTAGAAACTCATTTCTATATCCACTGCGCCAGGTACAATGTCAAATACATGGTAAGTACTCAATAAACATTTTTTGAAAATGAAGAAGAGCATTTGAACAGTGCCAACAATTTTAAGAGTACAGGGTATGATACCAGGTCTTCCCAGGTCCTAGTCTATAAAGGTACCTCAACTTAGCACTCATTTCATCACCCAGCCATTACTGGAGGAGTCATCTCTATCTTTTCAAAGTAGTCACTGTGGTTTCAGCTAATGAATCTAGCAGACCTGATATAAACTTGCCAAGAACCATGTAAAATGTAGACACTACAGAAATTAAGCACTAAAAATGAAAACAATGATTTTTGAGTAGGTTCAGCTAGCAAGTTGCAAAATAAAGAAGGAAAAAAGTTTTATATTCCGTTGTTATAGAAGTTGAAAATTAAAGCAGGAAGACAAATACCGACACTTGTTGAACAATAGTTTAATGTTCATGGAAATGACAAATTCCAGTGTTTCATGCTGTTTTCATGGTGTACACTTGTGTGTTAATCTGGGGAAAACGTTCACTGTCCAAACTTCAGACTTATTAAACATTTTAATAAAACTATTTTTAAAAGTATCTATTCTTCCACACAAAATATGATGGCTGTAGCTAATCACAAAGAAAAAAATTGTTCATACGCCTAACTATTTAGGATACAGTCACAAAACCCTGAATGCCTAAATGCAAACACAAACCATTGAAATTCACAAAAGAAATTGTAAAATCATCCACCTTAGGTAGCTCTTGCTAACCTACTGACTGAATTTCATCTGCAAAATCACAGGTTTGGATTAAATGACCTTAAAATTTCCCTTCACAAATGAAAACCACAAGATACCACTTCACACCTATTAGGATGTCTATTATCAATCAATCAATAAATAATAAAAAATAAAATAAAATAAAATAAAATAAAATAAAATAAAATAAAATAAAATAAAATAAAATGTGCTGGCAAGGAAGTGGACAACCTGCAGCTTTTGTGCATCACTAACAGAATGTAAAATGGTGCAGTCACTGTGGAAAATGAGTTGCAGTTTATCAAAAAATTAAACACAGAATTACTATGTGATCCGTCAATTTCACTTCAAGGTATATACCCACAAGAATCAAAAACAAGGACTTGAACAGATATTCATATCCTCATGTTCACAGCAGTATCATTCACAATAGTTAAAAGGTAAAAGCAACCCAAATGTCCATCAATAGATAGATAATATGTGGTGTATACACACACACGCACATACACACACACACACGCACACAATGGAATGTTATTCAGTGTTTAAAAGGAAGGCAATTCTGTCATATATGCGATAACATGAGTGAACCATTATGACATCATGCTAGGTGAAGTAAATCACAAAAAGACATGGTGTAATTCCACTTACATAAAGTACCAAGAATAGTCAAAATCACAGACACAGAAAGTAGAATGGTGGCTGCCATGGGCTGGGGGATGGGAAGAGGAAGAATTACTATTTAGTGGGTGTAGTTTCAATCTGGGAAGTGAAGGAGTTCTGGAAATAGATGGTGGCGATGGTTGTACAACAATGTAAATATGCTTAATGCCACTGAACTATACACTTACATGGTTACAATGATAAATTTTATGTTCTATATCATACCACAAAAGGTCCCTTTCAGCTACCTTTAAAAAGCAGTTACCTTTGCTCTTCCTTATAATATTTCTCACAGAAACTGAACTGCCCAAATATAACCTATCTACAAACACCCATTTCATCTAACTTCTTCCCAGAGTAAGGCCTACTACTCTAGGCTCATGTGCAACAAGTAGGAAACAACAGTTTATTGTTGTGTGATTTTATTTTTAAAACCAACTTCATTGGAGTATATATATTTTTAAATGAAGTACACCCATTTGAAATATACAGTTCAAGGAGTTCTGACAAATGTATACACTCATGCAATACCAAAATCAAGATACAGAACATTTCCATCACCCCAAAAGGATCCTTTTTGTGACTCAGCAAGCAATTCCCTTTCCTTTGCCCCCACCTCCATCCCATACCACCATTGATCAGCTTCCATTATAAATTATTCACCCTTTTCTAAAATTTCACATAAATGGAATCAACCTGTCAAACTATTTTCCACACCGGCTAGCAATGCATGAGTTCAGCTGCTCTATGTCCTAACCAACACTTAGTATTTTAAGTCTTCAAGGACAAACAATATAGTGGAAGTTGTCATTGTAACTCAGTGATTTTTATGTGTGCTTCCTGAATGAATAATGATAGTAGGCAGCATCTTTGCATGTGCTTGCCATCCATGTATCATTTTGCAAAGTGCTGAAAACTTTTGCCCATGTTTTATTTGGATTATAAGACTTTGGGTTATTTGTATTCCAAGAATTTTTTAATATTTTTTGAGTAACAAAAGAGATATAGATAGATAGAAAGATATAGATATAGATAGATAATATACAAGAAATATTTTCTCTCAGTCTGTGGTTATCTCTTCATTACAGCATCACCTAGGAGCAAAAATCTTAAATTCAACAAGTCCCAATTATCAATTTTCATTTTGTGGTCTGTGTCTAGCTTAAAAAAATATATTTGCCTACTCCAACATGGCAAATATTTTCCTCCATTTTCTTCTAGATGTTTTATAAAATAGTCTTAATTTTTATGCTAAGGTATCTCATCCACTTAAGGTTAACTGTGTAAGTCTGAGATAAGGATCAATATAAATTTTTCTTCCACCCAGATATACAGCACCACTTCTTGGAAAGACTATATACTTTTCCCACTAAATTACACTGGCACCTCTATCAAAAATCAGCTGAATATATACATGGGTCTATTTCTGAACTCTATTCTATTCCATTGATCTACATGTCTATCCTTATACCAATACCACTGTCTTAATTATTGTAGCTATGTAGAAAGTCTTGAAATCAGGCACTGCAAATCCCACAACTTCATGTTTTGTTTTGTTTTTCAAAACTCTTTGCTTATTCTAGGTCCTTGGCATTTCCTTGCAAAGCTTGTTGGAGGGGAAGGGGAAGGGGAAGAAGGGGAAGAAGGGGAAGGGGAAGGCTTGAAATCAGGCACTGCAAGTCCCACAACTTCATGTTTTGTTTTGTTTTTCAAAACTGTTTGCTTATTCTAGGTGTTTGGCATTTCCTTTTGCAAAGCTTGTTAGCAGTGGGAGGAGGGGAGGGGGGAGGGGAGGGGAGGGGAGGGGAGGGGAAGAAAAGTATGCTAGGATTTTTATTGGGATTGCATTAACGTTATAAATCAATTTGGGGAAGACTGATATCTAACAGTGAGTCCTCTATTCCACAAACATGCTGTATCTCTCCATTTATTTAGGTCTTTTATTTCTCTTGGTAATGTTTTATAGTTTTGAGTAAACAGGTCTATATTTATTTTGTTAAAATATATCCCTCA